ATCTTTTAGAAACTATCAATATAACAAATTATTTCATTTAATTATCAAATAATACAACAAATTTAATTATATGACGCACCATCACACCAGTAAACAACGTATATCCATCTTTACCACCACACTTATTACTACCATGCCGTCTTTTCACCATCACCTATATTTCCTTTTTACACCTAACTAATTATATTTTATAATTACTGCCGATAAACCACTTCGTTATGGATTGGCCTAACCTGTATCTGGCTCTGGATTATGGACTGGTACCCGCTCGTCTCCTGACATGATGTTTTTTATGCTCGCTTGCTGCCTGGATTTGGCTACGTTTCGTGCTGGATTTGCGTGTGGCTTTCGCATACAACTACGTCTCTTTACCTTCCGACCCTGGAATATTTGATATCGCCGTCCTGTTTCTTTTGGCTTCATGGATCGACCACACTCCATGTATAGGATTCATACATGCTCTCTTGCAACAACGTTTTGTATATTTTAGACCTTGGAGTCAACATATTCTTCAGACATAATGCTGTTCCTGCAACGTAAATATAAACTCGTTAAAATCGTCTGCGCATAAATCACACATATAAATAATTCTATTAATCAAAAAACATTCATATTTTATAATATACATACTCTCAATTAATACATAATACTTTCATCAATTTTTACTTAATATCAATAATCATAATACCAATCACAACATTAAGCCATATAACTCTTGTTTTTTCACTTTATAATTTATTAATACATAGCCCATAATCCATAATAACACATTTCATAAATATTAGAATTCCTTATGACATACAACAATACAATTAACTTATTAATACTAAATCAACATATACAGATGCATTTCAACATACATTTGAAAATACACACTGGTTATGGATTTCCATTTATACACCACATCATATTCCAAATTTCATCAATACACATTTTATCGCATTCATCGCCCCTATATATGGTTACATATTCATCGCTACACATTACTATTTATACATCATCATTCACGGCACTTCTCATCTATACATTCAACATTATAACTAATGACTTCTTTTTATCACTACTGTCTTCATGGTCCCTGGATTTGCACCTCCAGTTTCTCTCGGCTGGCACCCCACTGGTGCGCATCTCCATGCCCGTTCCTGGGATTCATTTGGCTGCGCCCACGCCTGCCACATAAACGCTTTCCATGGTACTACTGGATCTTCACAGCAGCTACATCTACAACTACACTATTCATACTTATATTTACTATTTAAGATTATTATTGTCATACGTTTAAGCCCACTAAAATGTCTAGTTCTTAGCTTTTTGTTACACAAAATGAATTAACTTAAAACTTATAATTTCCATTTTGAAAAGAAATCTTTGAAAATATTGTTAATAATCATAATTCGCTTTATTTTGAAATCCCTTTATATTATAATTTATAACTTGAATTCAATTCTTAAATTTTCTCTCATTATTATTGTTATTAATCTATTTTTCATCATATATTCTTATTACTTTTACCTTTATACATTGTTTGCTATTCCTCATTAGGATTAATTACACTTAGATTTAATTTATATACCTGTAAAAACAACAACAGCCACACCACAACATCTACTCCTGGTACCCCCTTGAGGGAGGGGGTGCCTCACTTACTCGCTTCGGCTTTTCACCGCAATTCCCTCCACTCATTCAAACGGGAAGGATCAAGGCAGTAATTTTTTGTCGTCACCTCCTTTAACTGCACTGCTGGCTGGATTTGGGATTAGTTCTAAGTTTAGTTTAAGTAAAGTTGTACCCATTTTCTGGCTATGTGCGCCATAATAAAATATATATATATGAAAAACAACATTAAGCCATATAACTCTTGTTTTTCACATTATAATTTATTAATACATAGCCCATAACTCATAGTAATACATTTCATAAATATTATATTCACCAAATTCCTTATAACATACAACAACAAATTAACTTATTAAATACCAATCAACAAAGACAGATGCATTTCAACATATATTCGAAAATACACATTGGTTATGGATTTCCATTTACACACCACATCATACTCCAAATTTCATCTACACACTTTACCGCATTCATCGCCCATATATATGGTTACATATTCATCGCTACACATTACTATTTACACATCATCATTCACGGCACTTCTCATCTATACATTCAACAATATAACTAATGACTTCTTTTTTATCATACTGCCATCATGGTCCATCCGGATTTGCACCTCCTGATTCTCTCGGCTGACATCACCATTTGGCACCCCACTGGTGCGCATCCTTCATGCCCGTTCCTGGGATTCGTTTTGGCTGCATCCACGCCTGCCACACAAACGCTTTCATTGGCACCACTGGATCTTCACAGCATCAACATTTACACACTATTCATACTTATATTTATTATTTAAGATTATTTTTGTCATACGTTTAAGCCCACTAAAACGTCTAATTCATAGCTTTTTGTTACACAAAATGAATTTACCCAAAATTTAAAAATTTCAATTTTGAAAAGAAAACTTTGAATATATTGTTATAATTTATACTTCACTTTATCTTGTAATCTCCTTATATTATAATTTACAACTTGAATTCAAATTTTTTAAATCTTTTCACATTATTATTGTTATAAATTTCATTTTTTCTTATTACTTCTACCTTTATACATTGTTTGTTATTCCTCATTAGAATTAATTACACTTAGATTTAATTTATGTACTTATAAAAACAACAACTGCCACACCACAATATCTACTCCTGGTACCCCCTTGAGGGAGGGGGTGCCTCACCTACTCGCTTCGGCTTTTCACCGCATTCCCTCCACTCATTCAAACGGGAAGGATCAAGACAGTAATTTTGTTGTCGTCACCTCCTTTGACTGCACTACCGGCTGGATTTGGGATTAGTTCTAAGTTTAGTTTAAGTAAAGTTGTACCCATTTTCTGGCTATGTGCGCCATAATAAAATATATATATATGAAAAAAAATATAAATAACTTTGTAATCTATGATTCAAATAATTCAGTTTATTTTTCAATTAAATTTCTATTTATTTATCGTCTCCACTTATTGACTCTCTTTTTCATACAATAAATTTCTCGCAATTGCACAATACAAATTCTAATTTTAACTGCCGTTTAGCTTTTTCTTTTGCTTTGAATTAAATCATATTGCTGCCCTGCTTACTCTTATGCGTCCCGTGCACTGCCGACGTCATTTCGGCCATACGCGTCATGCGCTTGTGCAGCACGGCAGCATATCAGCTGTAAAAATTCTTCACCCCCCCTTTTGTACCTATTTCTTCGTTGGCTAATATGCTATTTTATTGTGGTTTATGTTCCTGGACTGGCATATTAACTGTGCACGATATGTTCTAGTCGGGAACTTTTCTAACAATTACCTGCTATTAGCTATATGTTTTTTCTTGTCTAATTGTTCTTCTTATTATTATGCTGCGATTTTACTGTCAATGTTTTTCGGCAAGCAGCCTGCCTGTGTCGGAAACTTTTTCTTACATGAATCTAATAAGAACATTTTTGGTTAATTTCCAACGATTTACTAGAGCAACTTGTTACAAATTTTTCATAAATAAACTGATTTTCCCTATTATTTAACTTTAAATATTGAGATTTATACTTCATTCCTTATATTAATTGTTATATTAAATCAGATTCAATTCAATTTGCTCTATGGCCATTTGGAGGTCATTTTAGTGCTAAGGAGGACCCAGATCCGTGTATGGTAATTTATTTTACTTTAGATACAGCTGGATTCTGGATCCCCCTTGGCCATTCTTTACCACTGTGGGCGGTCGTGCTGACTTGTGCTCTAATATGCTGCTTCGTTCAGCGATATAATTGAGCGCTTTTTGCCACTGCTGCTCAAACCAAACATTTTTTCCTGGGTCTGTATTCTGTCTATCACTGTTAATTAACATTTATGCTCTCCTTCCCCTTTTTATCTTTCTTTATAATGTTTCTCCTGTTTCTTTACTCATGAGAATCAAAATCGTTCCAAGCCTTACTAAGCTGCTACTCATTCAGTATGACTCAATTTGAGTGAGTCTGTTTCTGAGCTTTTTCGCTCAATGAGCTTTATTCTAAAACGGCAATTTTCCACTGGTACACCCAGCACCCAGTTTTATAGCCTAGGAATTTTGCCTCAACCTTCAGTCGGGTTATTCGTTTAAACTGACATGCATGTGTTTTTTCGCTGCGTTCATAAAAAATTAAAAAACAAATTAAATTTTGTCAGAAATTATTCTGTTGTATCGGTCGTGTAGTGCCGCGTTTTCCATTCCCAGTGATCTTGCGCGCCTGGTGTCATATCGTTTTTGTGGGGACCGTGTCTATCTGGTTGGTCGCGGCGGCTGGAGGTGTTAGCTGCTTGAGCTGCCTGTCCACGCTGTTGGCCGTCTAAGTTGGCCACGTGTCCCTTTTTCAGCGGTATTTCGCTAGTGTTGGTAGGACTACGTGGGCGTGTGCCGCGTGACTGTACTGCACCGCCATTTTGACCTTCAAGTGTCTTGACCTTTATTTGTCCTGACCTTTGCTCGTCTTGACTCATATCCGTCTTGACCTTGACCTTCATTTGGTCCGATTTATCTTATTCATCATTCATTTTCATTGATTTTTTCACAGTTTTGAATAAAATAATTTGCATTTGGCCGTTTTTGTGCGTTGGTTGCCGGCGTGAGTGGATTTTTCTTCTGCCTGGTTTTTTCTGGCTGCGACGATTTTTGGCTGCTGCAGTTTGCGAGTATTGGGGTATCTTCCTCCTCGAGGATTTTGTCTGGTGTTTCTTGCTGCAGCGACCATATTTCTGCGCGTGCTCGAGCTCGGTTTGGGATTTTTCGTCTTGCGCGGATGACTTTTTGACGCTGGATTTGTGCCTTGATGTAAATTCTGGTCAGTTTTCGCTTTTGCAATTTTATTTTATATCACGAATAGCTCGACTCTAAACACTAAAGTTCATAATTTTTTCTCTATTTAACATGAATCAAGATAAATCTATTTCAACCACTCCCAAGCCCAAGAGAAGCCCCAAGGGGTCTGCTCTGGTGACTTCAAACGTGCTCTTGCGTCCTGCAAAGGGCTCTCCAAATTCATCTTCTCCTAAGGAGGCCACTGGGAAAAACGAACCTGCGAATTCTACTCCCAAAACGAGTTTTCGCCCTATTGTTAACACTACTACTGTTGTGCGTCGTTCGGGTGAATTCCATGCACCTGTACAACCGTACAATCCAACAGTTGCTGAGGCGGCAAACTCAGGAAGCAGTACGGCATCGCTATACAAGCGTGCTACTGCATCCCACACATCGCCTAAAACAAGGAGAATTCGTTCTAGTGCTGCTGTACGAAGCACCTCTGCTTCGGCTAGGGCTGCCCAGCACGACCACTTAAGACCCGATGTTCAGGATCTTTCCAGATCTGATCTTATCGAACTGGATTCCAACGAGGAGGAGATTGATAGTGATTCCTTATGTATGGAAGGCGCGAGTGCTCTTCCCGTTTCACCGCCGAATCAACAAAATACCGCTCAGAATGTTGTTGCCGAGCCCGTTCCCTTGCAGTCTGATGACTTGGAAACCCAGGGTAAGCCAAATTCTCCCATTATTTTCACTGGAAAACCTCCTCCCATCCAAGCAGAATGTGAGGATGCCACTGCTTTTTTAGTCGCTTTGTCTGAAACAGTATCACCGTCCCAATTCTTTTTAAAAATGGGTACTTCTGGTAATATTTGGATACATGCCAAAATCCCTGAAGATTATAGGGCAATTATTCATTTTCTGGACACTAATAACTTCTGTTATCACACTCATCAGCCGAAAGAGCTTAGGCCCCTTCGGGTTTACATCAGAGGATTGCCTCGTGCTACTGATACCGATTTTATTAAAAGTTCCCTTACAGCCGAAGGCTTTGACATTGTGGGAGTTCACAATCCCACCTTTATTGATAAAAGGAAGTCTGATCCAGCAGTTAAATATTCTCCAAACGCCTTCTTCGTTAATTTATTAAACACACCTAATAACGAGAGAATTTTTCAAATTAAAAACATTGGCAACTTCATTGTGCGTGTCGAGGCAACAATGAAAAACCTCGACATACCACAATGTAAGCGCTGCCAACGATTTCAACATACTGCAAGATTTTGTAGACACTCCCCCAGATGTGTAAAATGTGGAAATGAACACTGGTCATCCACCTGCACTAAAGAATTTGACACTCCTCCTACGTGCGCAAATTGCAAAGGCACACATACTGCAAATTTTTCTGGCTGCCCAGTTCTTGCTGCTGTCAAGGCCAGGCGAAATAAGGTTCACCAGCTTCCTGCTAGAACACGAGCAATGCAAATTGCCTCTATGCCTTTTGATGAGGCCAATTTTCCTACTTTGACTGATCCGTCAAATGCCAGACAAAAGCCACAAGCTGCAGATGGGTCTTTCAACACACAATTTAAAAATTTTGTTGGAAAGAATCCCTCTTCTGCTACTCCTCATCACTTGACTACAAATGCGTCATCAATAGAAGCGAATTCCAGAAAAACTGGCGCACAACCCAAGTCTTACGCTGACAGAGTTCGTTCCTTCAGCGCTAAAAACGTTCTTGCGGATATTCCACATCAAATGAGTGGGGAAAAGTTCCCAAGAATATTGGGCAAAACTGTCAATAATTTTCCACTGCCTAAAACGGCTCTAACAATACAGAATCCTTCTATTTACAATCGAAATGACGCCTTTCATATTTCATCACACACTTCCAACTTACTAAATCTTCCTGACACAGATTTCAGGATTTTTGTTTCAGACAGCATTCAAAATATGCAACTCCAAATTGCTTCCTTTCATACTCAATTAACGGCCTCCCTTACCAGGATGGAGCAGCTCGTTTTTTCTTTAAATAATTCCAATGAATGAATCAATTAGATTATCAATTTGGAATGCTAACGGCATTCGTCGCAAACTTCGTGACATAGAACTCTTTCTCACTACTAATAAGATAGATATAATGTTAATTTCGGAGACTAAACTCTCCCCTAATATTCAATTTTCTATTCCTGGTTATAGTTTTTTATTCGCATATAATCCCAACTCTCGTTCTGCTGCTGGCGGCTCAGCAATCATTATATCAAATAGAATTCCTTTTCAGCCTCTACCTCCAATTTCTGTAGAGCATTCTCACACCTGCCGTATGGTAATAAACACATATATTGGTCTTGTCACCATTGCCGCCTGTTATTGGCCACCAAATCAGTCGGTGTCACAATCCTTTTATACTTCGCTTTTTAGCCAGCTTGGTGATAAATTTCTTATAGGCGGTGATTGGAACGCCAAGCACCGCTTATGGGGAAATTTTAGAAGATGCCCACGTGGTGTAGCCTTGGCTGATGTGATTCTGTCCTCGGACAGACTAAATATTCTCTCTACAGCGGAACCCACCCATTTTCCTCGTAGTGGGTACACGCCGTCAGTTTTAGACTTTGCAGTGACCCGCAATATTCCATATTCTTTAATGGATATTTCCAGAAATTTTGATTTAACTAGTGACCATCTTCCACTCGTTATCTCTCTTAAATGTGGTCTGTCCGACATTTCTCTCCCTTCGAGTCCTCTTTCGGCTGTAAGTTCCAGGTTATTTACCAAAAATACCAACATTTCACAATTTAAAACTCTCCTTAATAATTGTACCCATTTAAATATGGATGTTAATACTACTGATGACATAGACGACGCAATAGATCTATTTACATCCAAAATTCGATCTTGTGCTATCGCAGCCACACCGACCAATAGTCCTTATTCCGCCCACCGCTCATTTTATCGGCCGCCTTTAAAAGCCGAAGCCCTTGAGCTAGCTCGCCTTAAACGGCAGCTTAGGAAATTGTATAATCGAACTCGTTCTCCTATTCACAAAGCAGATTGGCTTTACGTTTCACGCATTCTCACCAACTTTCTTCGTCGTACTCGTTCTGCACATTTTAATTTTATTTTGCAAAATGCTGACCCGTCTAAAAAAGGCGGTTTCAATTTGTGGCGTGCCACTAAACTTATTAAAACTCAACCTCATATGGTTGCTCCTATTAAAAATGAGCAAGGAAACTGGTGTATTACACCTTTAGAAGTTGCTGAAACATTTGCAAACGAACTAGAATCGCGTTTCACGCCTCTAGATTTCGCCTCTGCTTCTCAAATTCAACGAGTATCTGATGCACTTGCTGACAACGTCACTGAAACTGACCCTCCTACTCCCATTCGACATGTTAGTCCGTCCGAGATAAAAAGTCATATTGCCAGCTTGAAAATCAAAAAAGCACCTGGCCTAGATAACATTACAAACTTCATTTTGCGCTGCTTGCCTGAAAGGGCCATTATGTTTCTAGTAAAAATTTTTAATATCATGCTGCGTCTGCGTTATTTTCCGAAAAGCTGGAAATGCGCAGCAGTAAGCATGATTCCAAAATCTGGCCGATCACTCAGCCAGGTTAAAGATTATAGACCTATCAGCCTATTATCTGCCCTGTCCAAGTTATTTGAAATTGTCATTTCCGTCCGCTTACAGGATATTCTTGATACAAATGAAATAATTCCTGATCATCAGTTTGGATTCCGTAAGGACCATAGTACTATTCAGCAAGTTCATCGGATTGTTTACCATATTCAGACTACATTTGATTATGACCAGTTTACCTCTGCGGTTTTCCTAGATATCGAACAAGCATTTGATCGTGTGTGGCACAACGGTCTCCTTTTCAAACTTAAATCTATATTGCCCCAATATTTATATGAGCTTTTTGTCTCCTACCTCACAAATCGCTCCTTTTGTGTAAAGGAGAGAGGCACTTTTTCATCTATTCGTCAAATTCGAGCAGGTGTTCCGCAGGGAAGCATTTTAGCGCCAACACTATATAACATTTTTGTAAGCGATATGCCAACCCCTATATCGCCTAAATTTACCCGCAGCAGGTCGCTTATTGCAACATATGCAGACGACACTGCTATCTTATTCAGCGATATAAACGCATCAGTGTGTACCGATCAAATGAATAGGTATTTGATCAGATTTTCAACTTGGGCAAAATCCTGGAACATCAAAGTTAATGGTAGAAAATCTTCCCACATAACTTTTACTAGGCGTAACTGCAGAATGCCTGATGTCAGATTGGATAATGTGGTTATTCCTTCAAAATCAATAGTTAAATACTTAGGTATAAATATCGACAAAAAATTACTTTGGAGTAGCCATATTAATTCCATTAAGGCCTCACTCATATCTAAAGTTCGCAAGTATAACTGGCTATTAAATTCACGCTCCCGACTCAGTGTTCGTAACAAATTACTTATTTACAATCAAATTATTGCACCATCTTTCAAATACGGCATTGAACTCTGGGGCTGTGCCGCTGACGTACACATACGTATAATACAAATTATACAAAATAAGACCTTACGCCTATGTACGAACGCCACCCCGTTCGTAAGAAATGCAGACATTCATTCCGCCTTCAATATCGCCTCTGTTTGGGATCAAATTAACATTCATGCCTCTAGATATCATGATAGACTTCGATCTCATGATAATGTACTGGTACGGGCATTATCCCGTGCAGGAGGAACACTTTTTATAGGCGGTATTCCACCAATTCGGTATCGCCCTAAAGATCTTTCAAACAGAGTTCCTCCACCAAATGTTTTTTAATATTTTAAATCAACATATACTTTCACAATTTGGTAGTCATTCTTATTTTCTACCTTGTACACAAATTTTTTCTTACTTATATTTCATTTATAAAAATTTTTTGTTCTATTCACACTTAAATTCATCATCTACTCCTCATAGTAAATATATTTAATCAAATCATATTAATATATGTATATTGCCCTTCACCTACAATATGCTACTACTATAACTAAACCAGCTACTACACAAAGTATGCTGGTCTTAGTAGTATTTATGTTGCACAGCAACACTACGCCCAGTACCTTTTTATACATGCGCTATACCTATTCACACCATGCACACACAGCGCATACACAGCGCATACGGACCTGCCCTAATTCACAATGCTGATTTATATGCAAAAGAAACTTCCTTCACACACGCTTGTGTAGGTCGTTCCCCTTTTCATATGCTTTTGAATCTCTTATGCTCGCTCTCAGTTGATTCTCTCTGGGTGCTCTGTTTCTGTCCTCCTCATTAATGTATTGTTGCTCTCCTTTCACCATTATAAGCAGGGCTTTTATTTTTCTTTATTCATGCTTCGGCTATTATTTTATCAAAATACTGTAATTTTTTAATTCTAATAATTCAATTTACCTTTAATTAAATTCTAAATAATTATCGTCTTCATTTATTAGCTTTCTTTTTCATACATTAAATTTTTCGCAATGCACAATACAAATGCACAATACAAATGCTATTATTAGTCTCGCTGCTTAGCTTTTTCTTTTTGCTTTGAATTAATTTATACTGCTGCCCTGCTTACTCTTATGCGTCCCGAGCACTGCCGACGTCATTTCGGCCATACGCGTCACGCGCTATTGCAGCACGGCAGCATATCAGCTGTAAATTCTTCACCCCCCCTTTTGTACGTATTTATTCATTAGCTTATATTATATTATTATTGTGGGTTACCCTCCTGCACTGCATCTTAACTGTGCACGATAGGTTCCATTTATAAAAATTTTCTAATAATTATCTGTTATTTAAAAAAAAAAATTATAAATATTAAATAAAATAAGTAAGGAACTTATTATTCATTTTTCATACTTATTCCTACTTAATCAAAACATATTAATTTATGTATGTTGCCCTTCCTTAATTCTACATGCTACTATTACAACTAAATCAGCTACTGCATAAAGTATGCTGTCATTATATATTTCATATTGCACAATAATACTGTGCTCATAATATCTGCATACATGCGCTATGCGTTCATATACCATGTACGCACAGCGCATACTGACCTGCCCTAATTCATAATGCTGATCTACAAGCAAAATAACTTCCTTCACACACGCTTGTGTAGGTCGTTCCCCTTTTCATAAGCTTTTGAATCTCTTATACGTCCGCTCTCAGTTGATTCTCTCTGGGTGCTCTATTTCTGTCCTCCTCACCAATATATCGTCGCTCTCCTTTCACAATTATAAGCCAGGGCTTATATTTTTTCTTTTTTCATGCTTCGGCTAATATTTTATCAATAACTTAGTAATCTCTGATTCAAATAATTCAGTTTATTTTTCAATTAAATTTCTATTTATTTATCGTCTCCACTTATTGACTCTCTTTTTCATACAATAAATTTCTCGCAATTGCACAATACAAATTCTAATTTTAACTGCCGTTTAGCTTTTTCTTTTGCTTTGAATTAAATCATATTGCTGCCCTGCTTACTCTTATGCGTCCCGTGCACTGCCGACGTCATTTCGGCCATACGCGTCATGCGCTTGTGCAGCACGGCAGCATATCAGCTGTAAAAATTCTTCACCCCCCCTTTTGTACCTATTTCTTCGTTGGCTAATATGCTATTTTATTGTGGTTTATGTTCCTGGACTGGCATATTAACTGTGCACGATATGTCCTAGTCGGGAACTTTTCTAACAATTTACCTGCTATTAACCAAACGTTTTTTCCTGTCTAAATGTTCTTTTTATTATTATGCTGAGATTTTACTTTCCATGTTTTTCGGCAGCTGCTTGTCTGTGTCGGAAATTTTTCTTACTTGAATCATATACCAGCAAATCTAATAAGAACATTTTTGACTGATTTCCAATGATTCATAAGAGCAACATATAACCAATTTTTCATAAACAAACTGATTTTTCCCTATTATTTAACTTTAAATATTGAAATTTATATTACACTTCTCATACCAAATTGTTATATTAAATCAGATTAATTAAATTTGCTCTTTGGCCATCTTGGAGGTCATTTTAGTGCTAAGGGGGACCCAGATCCGTGTATGGTAATTTATTTTACTTTATATACAGCTGGATTCTGGATCCCCCTTGGCCATTCTTTACCACTGTGGGCGGTCGTGCTGACTTGTGCTCTAATATGCTGCTTCGATCAGCGATATAATTGAGCGCTTTTTGCCACTGCTGCTCAAACCAATCATTTTTTCCTGGGTCTGTATTTTGTCTATCACTGTTAATTAACATTTATGCTCTCCTTCCCCTTTTTATCTTTCTTTATAATGTTTCTCCTGTCTCTTTACTCATGAGAATCAAAATCGTTCCAAGCCTTACTAAGCTGCTACTCATTTAGTATGACTCAATTTGAGTGAGTCTATTCTGAGCTTTTCGCTCAATGAGCTTTATTCTAAAACGGCAATTTTCCACTGGTACACCCAGCACCCAGTTTTATAGCCTAGGAATTTTGCCTCAGCCTTCAGTCGGGTTATTCGTTTAAACTGACATGCATGTGTTTTTTCGCTGCGTTCATAAAAAATTAAAAAACAAATTAAATTTTGTCAGAAATTATTCTGTTGTATCGGTCGTGTAGTGCCGCGTTTTCCATTCCCAGTGATCTTGCGCGCCTGGTGTCATATCGTTTTTGTGGGGACCGTGTCTATCTGGTTGGTCGCGGCGGCTGGAGGTGTTAGCTGCTTGAGCTGCCTGTCCACGCTGTTGGCCGTCTAAGTTGGCCACGTGTCCCTTTTTCAGCGGTATTTCGCTAGTGTTGGTAGGACTACGTGGGCGTGTGCCGCGTGACTGTACTGCACCGCCATTTTGACCTTCAAGTGTCTTGACCTTTATTTGTCCTGACCTTTGCTCGTCTTGACTCATATCCGTCTTGACCTTGACCTTCATTTGGTCCGATTTATCTTATTCATCATTCATTTTCATTGATTTTTTCACAGTTTTGAATAAAATAATTTGCATTTGGCCGTTTTTGTGCGTTGGTTGCCGGCGTGAGTGGATTTTTCTTCTGCCTGGTTTTTTCTGGCTGCGACGATTTTTGGCTGCTGCAGTTTGCGAGTATTGGGGTATCTTCCTCCTCGAGGATTTTGTCTGGTGTTTCTTGCTGCAGCGACCATATTTCTGCGCGTGCTCGAGCTCGGTTTGGGATTTTTCGTCTTGCGCGGATGACTTTTTGACGCTGGATTTGTGCCTTGATGTAAATTCTGGTCAGTTTTCGCTTTTGCAATTTTATTTTATATCACGAATAGCTCGACTCTAAACACTAAAGTTCATAATTTTTTCTCTATTTAACATGAATCAAGATAAATCTATTTCAACCACTCCCAAGCCCAAGAGAAGCCCCAAGGGGTCTGCTCTGGTGACTTCAAACGTGCTCTTGCGTCCTGCAAAGGGCTCTCCAAATTCATCTTCTCCTAAGGAGGCCACTGGGAAAAACGAACCTGCGAATTCTACTCCCAAAACGAGTTTTCGCCCTATTGTTAACACTACTACTGTTGTGCGTCGTTCGGGTGAATTCCATGCACCTGTACAACCGTACAATCCAACAGTTGCTGAGGCGGCAAACTCAGGAAGCAGTACGGCATCGCTATACAAGCGTGCTACTGCATCCCACACATCGCCTAAAACAAGGAGAATTCGTTCTAGTGCTGCTGTACGAAGCACCTCTGCTTCGGCTAGGGCTGCCCAGCACGACCACTTAAGACCCGATGTTCAGGATCTTTCCAGATCTGATCTTATCGAACTGGATTCCAACGAGGAGGAGATTGATAGTGATTCCTTATGTATGGAAGGCGCGAGTGCTCTTCCCGTTTCACCGCCGAATCAACAAAATACCGCTCAGAATGTTGTTGCCGAGCCCGTTCCCTTGCAGTCTGATGACTTGGAAACCCAGGGTAAGCCAAATTCTCCCATTATTTTCACTGGAAAACCTCCTCCCATCCAAGCAGAATGTGAGGATGCCACTGCTTTTTTAGTCGCTTTGTCTGAAACAGTATCACCGTCCCAATTCTTTTTAAAAATGGGTACTTCTGGTAATATTTGGATACATGCCAAAATCCCTGAAGATTATAGGGCAATTATTCATTTTCTGGACACTAATAACTTCTGTTATCACACTCATCAGCCGAAAGAGCTTAGGCCCCTTCGGGTTTACATCAGAGGATTGCCTCGTGCTACTGATACCGATTTTATTAAAAGTTCCCTTACAGCCGAAGGCTTTGACATTGTGGGAGTTCACAATCCCACCTTTATTGATAAAAGGAAGTCTGATCCAGCAGTTAAATATTCTCCAAACGCCTTCTTCGTTAATTTATTAAACACACCTAATAACGAGAGAATTTTTCAAATTAAAAACATTGGCAACTTCATTGTGCGTGTCGAGGCAACAATGAAAAACCTCGACATACCACAATGTAAGCGCTGCCAACGATTTCAACATACTGCAAGATTTTGTAGACACTCCCCCAGATGTGTAAAATGTGGAAATGAACACTGGTCATCCACCTGCACTAAAGAATTTGACACTCCTCCTACGTGCGCAAATTGCAAAGGCACACATACTGCAAATTTTTCTGGCTGCCCAGTTCTTGCTGCTGTCAAGGCCAGGCGAAATAAGGTTCACCAGCTTCCTGCTAGAACACGAGCAATGCAAATTGCCTCTATGCCTTTTGATGAGGCCAATTTTCCTACTTTGACTGATCCGTCAAATGCCAGACAAAAGCCACAAGCTGCAGATGGGTCTTTCAACACACAATTTAAAAATTTTGTTGGAAAGAATCCCTCTTCTGCTACTCCTCATCACTTGACTACAAATGCGTCATCAATAGAAGCGAATTCCAGAAAAACTGGCGCACAACCCAAGTCTTACGCTGACAGAGTTCGTTCCTTCAGCGCTAAAAACGTTCTTGCGGATATTCCACATCAAATGAGTGGGGAAAAGTTCCCAAGAATATTGGGCAAAACTGTCAATAATTTTCCACTGCCTAAAACGGCTCTAACAATACAGAATCCTTCTATTTACAATCGAAATGACGCCTTTCATATTTCATCACACACTTCCAACTTACTAAATCTTCCTGACACAGATTTCAGGATTTTTGTTTCAGACAGCATTCAAAATATGCAACTCCAAATTGCTTCCTTTCATACTCAATTAACGGCCTCCCTTACCAGGATGGAGCAGCTCGTTTTTTCTTTAAATAATTCCAATGAATGAATCAATTAGATTATCAATTTGGAATGCTAACGGCATTCGTCGCAAACTTCGTGACATAGAACTCTTTCTCACTACTAATAAGATAGATATAATGTTAATTTCGGAGACTAAACTCTCCCCTAATATTCAATTTTCTATTCCTGGTTATAGTTTTTTATTCGCATATAATCCCAACTCTCGTTCTGCTGCTGGCGGCTCAGCAATCATTATATCAAATAGAATTCCTTTTCAGCCTCTACCTCCAATTTCTGTAGAGCATTCTCACACCTGCCGTATGGTAATAAACACATATATTGGTCTTGTCACCATTGCCGCCTGTTATTGGCCACCAAATCAGTCGGTGTCACAATCCTTTTATACTTCGCTTTTTAGCCAGCTTGGTGATAAATTTCTTATAGGCGGTGATTGGAACGCCAAGCACCGCTTATGGGGAAATTTTAGAAGATGCCCACGTGGTGTAGCCTTGGCTGATGTGATTCTGTCCTCGGACAGACTAAATATTCTCTCTACAGCGGAACCCACCCATTTTCCTCGTAGTGGGTACACGCCGTCAGTTTTAGACTTTGCAGTGACCCGCAATATTCCATATTCTTTAATGGATATTTCCAGAAATTTTGATTTAACTAGTGACCATCTTCCACTCGTTATCTCTCTTAAATGTGGTCTGTCCGACATTTCTCTCCCTTCGAGTCCTCTTTCGGCTGTAAGTTCCAGGTTATTTACCAAAAATACCAACATTTCACAATTTAAAACTCTCCTTAATAATTGTACCCATTTAAATATGGATGTTAATACTACTGATGACATAGACGACGCAATAGATCTATTTACATCCAAAATTCGATCTTGTGCTATCGCAGCCACACCGACCAATAGTCCTTATTCCGCCCACCGCTCATTTTATCGGCCGCCTTTAAAAGCCGAAGCCCTTGAGCTAGCTCGCCTTAAACGGCAGCTTAGGAAATTGTATAATCGAACTCGTTCTCCTATTCACAAAGCAGATTGGCTTTACGTTTCACGCATTCTCACCAACTTTCTTCGTCGTACTCGTTCTGCACATTTTAATTTTATTTTGCAAAATGCTGACCCGTCTAAAAAAGGCGGTTTCAATTTGTGGCGTGCCACTAAACTTATTAAAACTCAACCTCATATGGTTGCTCCTATTAAAAATGAGCAAGGAAACTGGTGTATTACACCTTTAGAAGTTGCTGAAACATTTGCAAACGAACTAGAATCGCGTTTCACGCCTCTAGATTTCGCCTCTGCTTCTCAAATTCAACGAGTATCTGATGCACTTGCTGACAACGTCACTGAAACTGACCCTCCTACTCCCATTCGACATGTTAGTCCGTCCGAGATAAAAAGTCATATTGCCAGCTTGAAAATCAAAAAAGCACCTGGCCTAGATAACATTACAAACTTCATTTTGCGCTGCTTGCCTGAAAGGGCCATTATGTTTCTAGTAAAAATTTTTAATATCATGCTGCGTCTGCGTTATTTTCCGAAAAGCTGGAAATGCGCAGCAGTAAGCATGATTCCAAAATCTGGCCGATCACTCAGCCAGGTTAAAGATTATAGACCTATCAGCCTATTATCTGCCCTGTCCAAGTTATTTGAAATTGTCATTTCCGTCCGCTTACAGGATATTCTTGATACAAATGAAATAATTCCTGATCATCAGTTTGGATTCCGTAAGGACCATAGTACTATTCAGCAAGTTCATCGGATTGTTTACCATATTCAGACTACATTTGATTATGACCAGTTTACCTCTGCGGTTTTCCTAGATATCGAACAAGCATTTGATCGTGTGTGGCACAACGGTCTCCTTTTCAAACTTAAATCTATATTGCCCCAATATTTATATGAGCTTTTTGTCTCCTACCTCACAAATCGCTCCTTTTGTGTAAAGGAGAGAGGCACTTTTTCATCTATTCGTCAAATTCGAGCAGGTGTTCCGCAGGGAAGCATTTTAGCGCCAACACTATATAACATTTTTGTAAGCGATATGCCAACCCCTATATCGCCTAAATTTACCCGCAGCAGGTCGCTTATTGCAACATATGCAGACGACACTGCTATCTTATTCAGCGATATAAACGCATCAGTGTGTACCGATCAAATGAATAGGTATTTGATCAGATTTTCAACTTGGGCAAAATCCTGGAACATCAAAGTTAATGGTAGAAAATCTTCCCACATAACTTTTACTAGGCGTAACTGCAGAATGCCTGATGTCAGATTGGATAATGTGGTTATTCCTTCAAAATCAATAGTTAAATACTTAGGTATAAATATCGACAAAAAATTACTTTGGAGTAGCCATATTAATTCCATTAAGGCCTCACTCATATCTAAAGTTCGCAAGTATAACTGGCTATTAAATTCACGCTCCCGACTCAGTGTTCGTAACAAATTACTTATTTACAATCAAATTATTGCACCATCTTTCAAATACGGCATTGAACTCTGGGGCTGTGCCGCTGACGTACACATACGTATAATACAAATTATACAAAATAAGACCTTACGCCTATGTACGAACGCCACCCCGTTCGTAAGAAATGCAGACATTCATTCCGCCTTCAATATCGCCTCTGTTTGGGATCAAATTAACATTCATGCCTCTAGATATCATGATAGACTTCGATCTCATGATAATGTACTGGTACGGGCATTATCCCGTGCAGGAGGAACACTTTTTATAGGCGGTATTCCACCAATTCGGTATCGCCCTAAAGATCTTTCAAACAGAGTTCCTCCACCAAATGTTTTTTAATATTTTAAATCAACATATACTTTCACAATTTGGTAGTCATTCTTATTTTCTACCTTGTACACAAATTTTTTCTTACTTATATTTCATTTATAAAAATTTTTTGTTCTATTCACACTTAAATTCATCATCTACTCCTCATAGTAAATATATTTAATCAAATCATATTAATATATGTATATTGCCCTTCACCTACAATATGCTACTACTATAACTAAACCAGCTACTACACAAAGTATGCTGGTCTTAGTAGTATTTATGTTGCACAGCAACACTACGCCCAGTACCTTTTTATACATGCGCTATACCTATTCACACCATGCACACACAGCGCATACACAGCGCATACGGACCTGCCCTAATTCACAATGCTGATTTATATGCAAAAGAAACTTCCTTCACACACGCTTGTGTAGGTCGTTCCCCTTTTCATATGCTTTTGAATCTCTTATGCTCGCTCTCAGTTGATTCTCTCTGGGTGCTCTGTTTCTGTCCTCCTCATTAATGTATTGTTGCTCTCCTTTCACCATTATAAGCAGGGCTTTTATTTTTCTTTATTCATGCTTCGGCTATTATTTTATCAAAATACTGTAATTTTTTAATTCTAATAATTCAATTTACCTTTAATTAAATTCTAAATAATTATCGTCTTCATTTATTAGCTTTCTTTTTCATACATTAAATTTTTCGCAATGCACAATACAAATGCACAATACAAATGCTATTATTAGTCTCGCTGCTTAGCTTTTTCTTTTTGCTTTGAATTAATTTATACTGCTGCCCTGCTTACTCTTATGCGTCCCGAGCACTGCCGACGTCATTTCGGCCATACGCGTCACGCGCTATTGCAGCACGGCAGCATATCAGCTGTAAATTCTTCACCCCCCCTTTTGTACGTATTTATTCATTAGCTTATATTATATTATTATTGTGGGTTACCCTCCTGCACTGCATCTTAACTGTGCACGATAGGTTCCATTTATAAAAATTTTCTAATAATTATCTGTTATTTAAAAAAAAAAATTATAAATATTAAATAAAATAAGTAAGGAACTTATTATTCATTTTTCATACTTATTCCTACTTAATCAAAACATATTAATTTATGTATGTTGCCCTTCCTTAATTCTACATGCTACTATTACAACTAAATCAGCTACTGCATAAAGTATGCTGTCATTATATATTTCATATTGCACAATAATACTGTGCTCATAATATCTGCATACATGCGCTATGCGTTCATATACCATGTACGCACAGCGCATACTGACCTGCCCTAATTCATAATGCTGATCTACAAGCAAAATAACTTCCTTCACACACGCTTGTGTAGGTCGTTCCCCTTTTCATAAGCTTTTGAATCTCTTATACGTCCGCTCTCAGTTGATTCTCTCTGGGTGCTCTATTTCTGTCCTCCTCACCAATATATCGTCGCTCTCCTTTCACAATTATAAGCCAGGGCTTATATTTTTTCTTTTTTCATGCTTCGGCTAATATTTTATCAATAACTTAGTAATCTCTGATTCAAATAATTCAGTTTATTTTTCAATTAAATTTCTATTTATTTATCGTCTCCACTTATTGACTCTCTTTTTCATACAATAAATTTCTCGCAATTGCACAATACAAATTCTAATTTTAACTGCCGTTTAGCTTTTTCTTTTGCTTTGAATTAAATCATATTGCTGCCCTGCTTACTCTTATGCGTCCCGTGCACTGCCGACGTCATTTCGGCCATACGCGTCATGCGCTTGTGCAGCACGGCAGCATATCAGCTGTAAAAATTCTTCACCCCCCCTTTTGTACCTATTTCTTCGTTGGCTAATATGCTATTTTATTGTGGTTTATGTTCCTGGACTGGCATATTAACTGTGCACGATATGTCCTAGTCGGGAACTTTTCTAACAATTTACCTGCTATTAACCAAACGTTTTTTCCTGTCTAAATGTTCTTTTTATTATTATGCTGAGATTTTACTTTCCATGTTTTTCGGCAGCTGCTTGTCTGTGTCGGAAATTTTTCTTACTTGAATCATATACCAGCAAATCTAATAAGAACATTTTTGACTGATTTCCAATGATTCATAAGAGCAACATATAACCAATTTTTCATAAACAAACTGATTTTTCCCTATTATTTAACTTTAAATATTGAAATTTATATTACACTTCTCATACCAAATTGTTATATTAAATCAGATTAATTAAATTTGCTCTTTGGCCATCTTGGAGGTCATTTTAGTGCTAAGGGGGACCCAGATCCGTGTATGGTAATTTATTTTACTTTATATACAGCTGGATTCTGGATCCCCCTTGGCCATTCTTTACCACTGTGGGCGGTCGTGCTGACTTGTGCTCTAATATGCTGCTTCGATCAGCGATATAATTGAGCGCTTTTTGCCACTGCTGCTCAAACCAATCATTTTTTCCTGGGTCTGTATTTTGTCTATCACTGTTAATTAACATTTATGCTCTCCTTCCCCTTTTTATCTTTCTTTATAATGTTTCTCCTGTCTCTTTACTCATGAGAATCAAAATCGTTCCAAGCCTTACTAAGCTGCTACTCATTTAGTATGACTCAATTTGAGTGAGTCTATTCTGAGCTTTTCGCTCAATGAGCTTTATTCTAAAACGGCAATTTTCCACTGGTACACCCAGCATCCAGTTTTATAGCCTAGGAATTTTGCCTCAGCCTTCAGTCGGGTTATTCGTTTAAACTGACATGCATGTGTTTTTTCGCTGCGTTCATAAAAAATTAAAAAACAAATTAAATTTTGTCAGAAATTATTCTGTTGTATCGGTCGTGTAGTGCCGCGTTTTCCATTCCCAGTGATCTTGCGCGCCTGGTGTCATATCGTTTTTGTGGGGACCGTGTCTATCTGGTTGGTCGCGGCGGCTGGAGGTGTTAGCTGCTTCAGCTGCCTGTCCACGCTGTTGGCCGTCTAAGTTGGACACGGGCCCTTCTTTTCAGCGGTATTTCGCTAGTGCTGGTGGGAATACGTGGGTGTGTGTGCGTGGCTCTGCACTGACCCACACCTCCAGTCAAATTGGTAATATATATCCTCTTATACTAACACTATATTAATGAATCCGATTTCTCAGGATCTAAATAAAGAACTTTGCTGCACACCTCTCATGTTTGGCTGTTTTGAGGCCCTTTTTCTGCCTGCTGTCACTGCTTTTATATAAATCTGCGCCCTCTTGTGGGAAACTTTGCTTCTGGATAGTGCCGCAACGCGGGACACTTTTTATATATATTGATCGTCTGCCTGAACACGTCATGTAGTGGAAATGGGCTAATCAATGTGTGATGCTATCTCCATAAACTCTATGATAATGCAGAGTAAATATACAACGCTTCATTACTGTCAAAATTCATTTATTTAATACAATTCACATAACAAATTCATTACATTTACATCACATTATATAAATAATATAAATCCTAATACAACACACATTTAAATAAGTAACTGGCTATATAACTTTCTATTTTATTTTATAATTCACTAATTAATCTGGCTTATTTAATGCATTACATTTATTTACAAAAGCCCAAGTGGGCAACTAATTCATAAACGCCGTTCAGGCCATAAATTACTACTTAAATATTATAACATAAATTTTTTAGAACATTCAATATAACAATTTATTTCATTTAAATTATCAAATAATACACATAATTAATCATACATCATATCATCATATTAGTAAACAACGTACACTCATCTTTACCACCACACTTATTTCTATCATGTTTACAAAAGCCCAAATGGGCAACTAATTCACAAACGCCGTTCAGGCCATAAATTACTATTCATATATTATAACATAAATCTTTTAGAAACTATCAATATAACAAATTATTTCATTTAATTATCAAATAATACAACAAATTTAATTATATGACGCACCATCACACCAGTAAACAACGTATATCCATCTTTACCACCACACTTATTACTACCATGCCGTCTTTTCACCATCACCTATATTTCCTTTTTACACCTAACTAATTATATTTTATAATTACTGCCGATAAACCACTTCGTTATGGATTGGCCTAACCTGTATCTGGCTCTGGATTATGGACTGGTACCCGCTCGTCTCCTGACATGATGTTTTTTATGCTCGCTTGCTGCCTGGATTTGGCTACGTTTCGTGCTGGATTTGCGTGTGGCTTTCGCATACAACTACGTCTCTTTACCTTCCGACCCTGGAATATTTGATATCGCCGTCCTGTTTCTTTTGGCTTCATGGATCGACCACACTCCATGTATAGGATTCATACATGCTCTCTTGCAACAACGTTTTGTATATTTTAGACCTTGGAGTCAACATATTCTTCAGACATGATGCTGTTCCTGCAACGTAAATATAAACTCGTTAAAATCGTCTGCGCATAAATCACACATATAAATAATTCTATTAATCAAAAAACATTCATATTTTATAATATACATACTCTCAATTAATACATAATACTTTCATCAATTTTTACTTAATATCAATAATCATAATACCAATCACAACATTAAGCCATATAACTCTTGTTTTTTCACTTTATAATTTATTAATACATAGCCCATAATCCATAATAACACATTTCATAAATATTAGAATTCCTTATGACATACAACAATACAATTAACTTATTAATACTAAATCAACATATACAGATGCATTTCAACATACATTTGAAAATACACACTGGTTATGGATTTCCATTTATACACCACATCATATTCCAAATTTCATCAATACACATTTTATCGCATTCATCGCCCCTATATATGGTTACATATTCATCGCTACACATTACTATTTATACATCATCATTCACGGCACTTCTCATCTATACATTCAACATTATAACTAATGACTTCTTTTTATCACTACTGTCTTCATGGTCCCTGGATTTGCACCTCCAGTTTCTCTCGGCTGGCACCCCACTGGTGCGCATCTCCATGCCCGTTCCTGGGATTCATTTGGCTGCGCCCACGCCTGCCACATAAACGCTTTCCATGGTACTACTGGATCTTCACAGCAGCTACATCTACAACTACACTATTCATACTTATATTTACTATTTAAGATTATTATTGTCATACGTTTAAGCCCACTAAAATGTCTAGTTCTTAGCTTTTTGTTACACAAAATGAATTAACTTAAAACTTATAATTTCCATTTTGAAAAGAAATCTTTGAAAATATTGTTAATAATCATAATTCGCTTTATTTTGAAATCCCTTTATATTATAATTTATAACTTGAATTCAATTCTTAAATTTTCTCTCATTATTATTGTTATTAATCTATTTTTCATCATATATTCTTATTACTTTTACCTTTATACATTGTTTGCTATTCCTCATTAGGATTAATTACACTTAGATTTAATTTATATACCTGTAAAAACAACAACAGCCACACCACAACATCTACTCCTGGTACCCCCTTGAGGGAGGGGGTGCCTCACTTACTCGCTTCGGCTTTTCACCGCAATTCCCTCCACTCATTCAAACGGGAAGGATCAAGGCAGTAATTTTTTGTCGTCACCTCCTTTAACTGCACTGCTGGCTGGATTTGGGATTAGTTCTAAGTTTAGTTTAAGTAAAGTTGTACCCATTTTCTGGCTATGTGCGCCATAATAAAATATATATATATGAAAAAAAAACATATTAATTTATGTATGTTGCCCTTCTTTAATTCTACATGCTACTATTACAACTAAATCAGCTACTGCATAAAGTATGCTGTCATTATATATTTCATATTGCACAATAATACTGTGCTCATAATATCTGCATACATGCGCTATGCGTTCATATACCATGTACGCACAGCGCATACTGACCTGCCCTAATTCATAATGCTGATCTACAAGCAAAATAACTTCCTTCACACACGCTTGTGTAGGTCGTTCCCCTTTTCATAAGCTTTTGAATCTCTTATACGTCCGCTCTCAGTTGATTCTCTCTGGGTGCTCTATTTCTGTCCTCCTCACCAATATATCGTCGCTCTCCTCTCACAATTATAAGCCAGGGCTTATATTTTTTCTTTTTTCATGCTTCGGCTAATATTTTATAAATAACTTTGTAATCTATGATTCAAATAATTCAGTTTATTTTTCAATTAAATTTCTATTTATTTATCGTCTCCACTTATTGACTCTCTTTTTCATACAATAAATTTCTCGCAATTGCACAATACAAATTCTAATTTTAACTGCCGTTTAGCTTTTTCTTTTGCTTTGAATTAAATCATATTGCTGCCCTGCTTACTCTTATGCGTCCCGTGCACTGCCGACGTCATTTCGGCCATACGCGTCATGCGCTTGTGCAGCACGGCAGCATATCAGCTGTAAAAATTCTTCACCCCCCCTTTTGTACCTATTTCTTCGTTGGCTAATATGCTATTTTATTGTGGTTTATGTTCCTGGACTGGCATATTAACTGTGCACGATATGTTCTAGTCGGGAACTTTTCTAACAATTACCTGCTATTAGCTATATGTTTTTTCTTGTCTAATTGTTCTTCTTATTATTATGCTGCGATTTTACTGTCAATGTTTTTCGGCAAGCAGCCTGCCTGTGTCGGAAACTTTTTCTTACATGAATCTAATAAGAACATTTTTGGTTAATTTCCAACGATTTACTAGAGCAACTTGTTACAAATTTTTCATAAATAAACTGATTTTCCCTATTATTTAACTTTAAATATTGAGATTTATACTTCATTCCTTATATTAATTGTTATATTAAATCAGATTCAATTCAATTTGCTCTATGGCCATTTGGAGGTCATTTTAGTGCTAAGGAGGACCCAGATCCGTGTATGGTAATTTATTTTACTTTAGATACAGCTGGATTCTGGATCCCCCTTGGCCATTCTTTACCACTGTGGGCGGTCGTGCTGACTTGTGCTCTAATATGCTGCTTCGTTCAGCGATATAATTGAGCGCTTTTTGCCACTGCTGCTCAAACCAAACATTTTTTCCTGGGTCTGTATTCTGTCTATCACTGTTAATTAACATTTATGCTCTCCTTCCCCTTTTTATCTTTCTTTATAATGTTTCTCCTGTTTCTTTACTCATGAGAATCAAAATCGTTCCAAGCCTTACTAAGCTGCTACTCATTCAGTATGACTCAATTTGAGTGAGTCTGTTTCTGAGCTTTTTCGCTCAATGAGCTTTATTCTAAAACGGCAATTTTCCACTGGTACACCCAGCACCCAGTTTTATAGCCTAGGAATTTTGCCTCAACCTTCAGTCGGGTTATTCGTTTAAACTGACATGCATGTGTTTTTTCGCTGCGTTCATAAAAAATTAAAAAACAAATTAAATTTTGTCAGAAATTATTCTGTTGTATCGGTCGTGTAGTGCCGCGTTTTCCATTCCCAGTGATCTTGCGCGCCTGGTGTCATATCGTTTTTGTGGGGACCGTGTCTATCTGGTTGGTCGCGGCGGCTGGAGGTGTTAGCTGCTTGAGCTGCCTGTCCACGCTGTTGGCCGTCTAAGTTGGCCACGTGTCCCTTTTTCAGCGGTATTTCGCTAGTGTTGGTAGGACTACGTGGGCGTGTGCCGCGTGACTGTACTGCACCGCCATTTTGACCTTCAAGTGTCTTGACCTTTATTTGTCCTGACCTTTGCTCGTCTTGACTCATATCCGTCTTGACCTTGACCTTCATTTGGTCCGATTTATCTTATTCATCATTCATTTTCATTGATTTTTTCACAGTTTTGAATAAAATAATTTGCATTTGGCCGTTTTTGTGCGTTGGTTGCCGGCGTGAGTGGATTTTTCTTCTGCCTGGTTTTTTCTGGCTGCGACGATTTTTGGCTGCTGCAGTTTGCGAGTATTGGGGTATCTTCCTCCTCGAGGATTTTGTCTGGTGTTTCTTGCTGCAGCGACCATATTTCTGCGCGTGCTCGAGCTCGGTTTGGGATTTTTCGTCTTGCGCGGATGACTTTTTGACGCTGGATTTGTGCCTTGATGTAAATTCTGGTCAGTTTTCGCTTTTGCAATTTTATTTTATATCACGAATAGCTCGACTCTAAACACTAAAGTTCATAATTTTTTCTCTATTTAACATGAATCAAGATAAATCTATTTCAACCACTCCCAAGCCCAAGAGAAGCCCCAAGGGGTCTGCTCTGGTGACTTCAAACGTGCTCTTGCGTCCTGCAAAGGGCTCTCCAAATTCATCTTCTCCTAAGGAGGCCACTGGGAAAAACGAACCTGCGAATTCTACTCCCAAAACGAGTTTTCGCCCTATTGTTAACACTACTACTGTTGTGCGTCGTTCGGGTGAATTCCATGCACCTGTACAACCGTACAATCCAACAGTTGCTGAGGCGGCAAACTCAGGAAGCAGTACGGCATCGCTATACAAGCGTGCTACTGCATCCCACACATCGCCTAAAACAAGGAGAATTCGTTCTAGTGCTGCTGTACGAAGCACCTCTGCTTCGGCTAGGGCTGCCCAGCACGACCACTTAAGACCCGATGTTCAGGATCTTTCCAGATCTGATCTTATCGAACTGGATTCCAACGAGGAGGAGATTGATAGTGATTCCTTATGTATGGAAGGCGCGAGTGCTCTTCCCGTTTCACCGCCGAATCAACAAAATACCGCTCAGAATGTTGTTGCCGAGCCCGTTCCCTTGCAGTCTGATGACTTGGAAACCCAGGGTAAGCCAAATTCTCCCATTATTTTCACTGGAAAACCTCCTCCCATCCAAGCAGAATGTGAGGATGCCACTGCTTTTTTAGTCGCTTTGTCTGAAACAGTATCACCGTCCCAATTCTTTTTAAAAATGGGTACTTCTGGTAATATTTGGATACATGCCAAAATCCCTGAAGATTATAGGGCAATTATTCATTTTCTGGACACTAATAACTTCTGTTATCACACTCATCAGCCGAAAGAGCTTAGGCCCCTTCGGGTTTACATCAGAGGATTGCCTCGTGCTACTGATACCGATTTTATTAAAAGTTCCCTTACAGCCGAAGGCTTTGACATTGTGGGAGTTCACAATCCCACCTTTATTGATAAAAGGAAGTCTGATCCAGCAGTTAAATATTCTCCAAACGCCTTCTTCGTTAATTTATTAAACACACCTAATAACGAGAGAATTTTTCAAATTAAAAACATTGGCAACTTCATTGTGCGTGTCGAGGCAACAATGAAAAACCTCGACATACCACAATGTAAGCGCTGCCAACGATTTCAACATACTGCAAGATTTTGTAGACACTCCCCCAGATGTGTAAAATGTGGAAATGAACACTGGTCATCCACCTGCACTAAAGAATTTGACACTCCTCCTACGTGCGCAAATTGCAAAGGCACACATACTGCAAATTTTTCTGGCTGCCCAGTTCTTGCTGCTGTCAAGGCCAGGCGAAATAAGGTTCACCAGCTTCCTGCTAGAACACGAGCAATGCAAATTGCCTCTATGCCTTTTGATGAGGCCAATTTTCCTACTTTGACTGATCCGTCAAATGCCAGACAAAAGCCACAAGCTGCAGATGGGTCTTTCAACACACAATTTAAAAATTTTGTTGGAAAGAATCCCTCTTCTGCTACTCCTCATCACTTGACTACAAATGCGTCATCAATAGAAGCGAATTCCAGAAAAACTGGCGCACAACCCAAGTCTTACGCTGACAGAGTTCGTTCCTTCAGCGCTAAAAACGTTCTTGCGGATATTCCACATCAAATGAGTGGGGAAAAGTTCCCAAGAATATTGGGCAAAACTGTCAATAATTTTCCACTGCCTAAAACGGCTCTAACAATACAGAATCCTTCTATTTACAATCGAAATGACGCCTTTCATATTTCATCACACACTTCCAACTTACTAAATCTTCCTGACACAGATTTCAGGATTTTTGTTTCAGACAGCATTCAAAATATGCAACTCCAAATTGCTTCCTTTCATACTCAATTAACGGCCTCCCTTACCAGGATGGAGCAGCTCGTTTTTTCTTTAAATAATTCCAATGAATGAATCAATTAGATTATCAATTTGGAATGCTAACGGCATTCGTCGCAAACTTCGTGACATAGAACTCTTTCTCACTACTAATAAGATAGATATAATGTTAATTTCGGAGACTAAACTCTCCCCTAATATTCAATTTTCTATTCCTGGTTATAGTTTTTTATTCGCATATAATCCCAACTCTCGTTCTGCTGCTGGCGGCTCAGCAATCATTATATCAAATAGAATTCCTTTTCAGCCTCTACCTCCAATTTCTGTAGAGCATTCTCACACCTGCCGTATGGTAATAAACACATATATTGGTCTTGTCACCATTGCCGCCTGTTATTGGCCACCAAATCAGTCGGTGTCACAATCCTTTTATACTTCGCTTTTTAGCCAGCTTGGTGATAAATTTCTTATAGGCGGTGATTGGAACGCCAAGCACCGCTTATGGGGAAATTTTAGAAGATGCCCACGTGGTGTAGCCTTGGCTGATGTGATTCTGTCCTCGGACACACTAAATATTCTCTCTACAGCGGAACCCACCCATTTTCCTCGTAGTGGGTACACGCCGTCAGTTTTAGACTTTGCAGTGACCCGCAATATTCCATATTCTTTAATGGATATTTCCAGAAATTTTGATTTAACTAGTGACCATCTTCCACTCGTTATCTCTCTTAAATGTGGTCTGTCCGACATTTCTCTCCCTTCGAGTCCTCTTTCGGCTGTAAGTTCCAGGTTATTTACCAAAAATACCAACATTTCACAATTTAAAACTCTCCTTAATAATTGTACCCATTTAAATATGGATGTTAATACTACTGATGACATAGACGACGCAATAGATCTATTTACATCCAAAATTCGATCTTGTGCTATCGCAGCCACACCGACCAATAGTCCTTATTCCGCCCACCGCTCATTTTATCGGCCGCCTTTAAAAGCCGAAGCCCTTGAGCTAGCTCGCCTTAAACGGCAGCTTAGGAAATTGTATAATCGAACTCGTTCTCCTATTCACAAAGCAGATTGGCTTTACGTTTCACGCATTCTCACCAACTTTCTTCGTCGTACTCGTTCTGCACATTTTAATTTTATTTTGCAAAATGCTGACCCGTCTAAAAAAGGCGGTTTCAATTTGTGGCGTGCCACTAAACTTATTAAAACTCAACCTCATATGGTTGCTCCTATTAAAAATGAGCAAGGAAACTGGTGTATTACACCTTTAGAAGTTGCTGAAACATTTGCAAACGAACTAGAATCGCGTTTCACGCCTCTAGATTTCGCCTCTGCTTCTCAAATTCAACGAGTATCTGATGCACTTGCTGACAACGTCACTGAAACTGACCCTCCTACTCCCATTCGACATGTTAGTCCGTCCGAGATAAAAAGTCATATTGCCAGCTTGAAAATCAAAAAAGCACCTGGCCTAGATAACATTACAAACTTCATTTTGCGCTGCTTGCCTGAAAGGGCCATTATGTTTCTAGTAAAAATTTTTAATATCATGCTGCGTCTGCGTTATTTTCCGAAAAGCTGGAAATGCGCAGCAGTAAGCATGATTCCAAAATCTGGCCGATCACTCAGCCAGGTTAAAGATTATAGACCTATCAGCCTATTATCTGCCCTGTCCAAGTTATTTGAAATTGTCATTTCCGTCCGCTTACAGGATATTCTTGATACAAATGAAATAATTCCTGATCATCAGTTTGGATTCCGTAAGGACCATAGTACTATTCAGCAAGTTCATCGGATTGTTTACCATATTCAGACTACATTTGATTATGACCAGTTTACCTCTGCGGTTTTCCTAGATATCGAACAAGCATTTGATCGTGTGTGGCACAACGGTCTCCTTTTCAAACTTAAATCTATATTGCCCCAATATTTATATGAGCTTTTTGTCTCCTACCTCACAAATCGCTCCTTTTGTGTAAAGGAGAGAGGCACTTTTTCATCTATTCGTCAAATTCGAGCAGGTGTTCCGCAGGGAAGCATTTTAGCGCCAACACTATATAACATTTTTGTAAGCGATATGCCAACCCCTATATCGCCTAAATTTACCCGCAGCAGGTCGCTTATTGCAACATATGCAGACGACACTGCTATCTTATTCAGCGATATAAACGCATCAGTGTGTACCGATCAAATGAATAGGTATTTGATCAGATTTTCAACTTGGGCAAAATCCTGGAACATCAAAGTTAATGGTAGAAAATCTTCCCACATAACTTTTACTAGGCGTAACTGCAGAATGCCTGATGTCAGATTGGATAATGTGGTTATTCCTTCAAAATCAATAGTTAAATACTTAGGTATAAATATCGACAAAAAATTACTTTGGAGTAGCCATATTAATTCCATTAAGGCCTCACTCATATCTAAAGTTCGCAAGTATAACTGGCTATTAAATTCACGCTCCCGACTCAGTGTTCGTAACAAATTACTTATTTACAATCAAATTATTGCACCATCTTTCAAATACGGCATTGAACTCTGGGGCTGTGCCGCTGACGTACACATACGTATAATACAAATTATACAAAATAAGACCTTACGCCTATGTACGAACGCCACCCCGTTCGTAAGAAATGCAGACATTCATTCCGCCTTCAATATCGCCTCTGTTTGGGATCAAATTAACATTCATGCCTCTAGATATCATGATAGACTTCGATCTCATGATAATGTACTGGTACGGGCATTATCCCGTGCAGGAGGAACACTTTTTATAGGCGGTATTCCACCAATTCGGTATCGCCCTAAAGATCTTTCAAACAGAGTTCCTCCACCAAATGTTTTTTAATATTTTAAATCAACATATACTTTCACAATTTGGTAGTCATTCTTATTTTCTACCTTGTACACAAATTTTTTCTTACTTATATTTCATTTATAAAAATTTTTTGTTCTATTCACACTTAAATTCATCATCTACTCCTCATAGTAAATATATTTAATCAAATCATATTAATATATGTATATTGCCCTTCACCTACAATATGCTACTACTATAACTAAACCAGCTACTACACAAAGTATGCTGGTCTTAGTAGTATTTATGTTGCACAGCAACACTACGCCCAGTACCTTTTTATACATGCGCTATACCTATTCACACCATGCACACACAGCGCATACACAGCGCATACTGACCTGCCCTAATTCACAATGCTGATTTATATGCAAAAGAAACTTCCTTCACACACGCTTGTGTAGGTCGTTCCCCTTTTCATATGCTTTTGAATCTCTTATGCTCGCTCTCAGTTGATTCTCTCTGGGTGCTCTGTTTCTGTCCTCCTCATTAATGTATTGTTGCTCTCCTTTCACCATTATAAGCAGGGCTTTTATTTTTCTTTATTCATGCTTCGGCTATTATTTTATCAAAATACTGTAATTTTTTAATTCTAATAATTCAATTTACCTTTAATTAAATTCTAAATAATTATCGTCTTCATTTATTAGCTTTCTTTTTCATACATTAAATTTTTCGCAATGCACAATACAAATGCACAATACAAATGCTATTATTAGTCTCGCTGCTTAGCTTTTTCTTTTTGCTTTGAATTAATTTATACTGCTGCCCTGCTTACTCTTATGCGTCCCGAGCACTGCCGACGTCATTTCGGCCATACGCGTCACGCGCTATTGCAGCACGGCAGCATATCAGCTGTAAATTCTTCACCCCCCCTTTTGTACGTATTTATTCATTAGCTTATATTATATTATTATTGTGGGTTACCCTCCTGCACTGCATCTTAACTGTGCACGATAGGTTCCATTTATAAAAATTTTCTAATAATTATCTGTTATTTAAAAAAAAAAATTATAAATATTAAATAAAATAAGTAAGGAACTTATTATTCATTTTTCATACTTATTCCTACTTAATCAAAACATATTAATTTATGTATGTTGCCCTTCCTTAATTCTACATGCTACTATTACAACTAAATCAGCTACTGCATAAAGTATGCTGTCATTATATATTTCATATTGCACAATAATACTGTGCTCATAATATCTGCATACATGCGCTATGCGTTCATATACCATGTACGCACAGCGCATACTGACCTGCCCTAATTCATAATGCTGATCTACAAGCAAAATAACTTCCTTCACACACGCTTGTGTAGGTCGTTCCCCTTTTCATAAGCTTTTGAATCTCTTATACGTCCGCTCTCAGTTGATTCTCTCTGGGTGCTCTATTTCTGTCCTCCTCACCAATATATCGTCGCTCTCCTTTCACAATTATAAGCCAGGGCTTATATTTTTTCTTTTTTCATGCTTCGGCTAATATTTTATCAATAACTTAGTAATCTCTGATTCAAATAATTCAGTTTATTTTTCAATTAAATTTCTATTTATTTATCGTCTCCACTTATTGACTCTCTTTTTCATACAATAAATTTCTCGCAATTGCACAATACAAATTCTAATTTTAACTGCCGTTTAGCTTTTTCTTTTGCTTTGAATTAAATCATATTGCTGCCCTGCTTACTCTTATGCGTCCCGTGCACTGCCGACGTCATTTCGGCCATACGCGTCATGCGCTTGTGCAGCACGGCAGCATATCAGCTGTAAAAATTCTTCACCCCCCCTTTTGTACCTATTTCTTCGTTGGCTAATATGCTATTTTATTGTGGTTTATGTTCCTGGACTGGCATATTAACTGTGCACGATATGTCCTAGTCGGGAACTTTTCTAACAATTTACCTGCTATTAACCAAACGTTTTTTCCTGTCTAAATGTTCTTTTTATTATTATGCTGAGATTTTACTTTCCATGTTTTTCGGCAGCTGCTTGTCTGTGTCGGAAATTTTTCTTACTTGAATCATATACCAGCAAATCTAATAAGAACATTTTTGACTGATTTCCAATGATTCATAAGAGCAACATATAACCAATTTTTCATAAACAAACTGATTTTTCCCTATTATTTAACTTTAAATATTGAAATTTATATTACACTTCTCATACCAAATTGTTATATTAAATCAGATTAATTAAATTTGCTCTTTGGCCATCTTGGAGGTCATTTTAGTGCTAAGGGGGACCCAGATCCGTGTATGGTAATTTATTTTACTTTATATACAGCTGGATTCTGGATCCCCCTTGGCCATTCTTTACCACTGTGGGCGGTCGTGCTGACTTGTGCTCTAATATGCTGCTTCGATCAGCGATATAATTGAGCGCTTTTTGCCACTGCTGCTCAAACCAATCATTTTTTCCTGGGTCTGTATTTTGTCTATCACTGTTAATTAACATTTATGCTCTCCTTCCCCTTTTTATCTTTCTTTATAATGTTTCTCCTGTCTCTTTACTCATGAGAATCAAAATCGTTCCAAGCCTTACTAAGCTGCTACTCATTTAGTATGACTCAATTTGAGTGAGTCTATTCTGAGCTTTTCGCTCAATGAGCTTTATTCTAAAACGGCAATTTTCCACTGGTACACCCAGCATCCAGTTTTATAGCCTAGGAATTTTGCCTCAGCCTTCAGTCGGGTTATTCGTTTAAACTGACATGCATGTGTTTTTTCGCTGCGTTCATAAAAAATTAAAAAACAAATTAAATTTTGTCAGAAATTATTCTGTTGTATCGGTCGTGTAGTGCCGCGTTTTCCATTCCCAGTGATCTTGCGCGCCTGGTGTCATATCGTTTTTGTGGGGACCGTGTCTATCTGGTTGGTCGCGGCGGCTGGAGGTGTTAGCTGCTTCAGCTGCCTGTCCACGCTGTTGGCCGTCTAAGTTGGACACGGGCCCTTCTTTTCAGCGGTATTTCGCTAGTGCTGGTGGGAATACGTGGGTGTGTGTGCGTGGCTCTGCACTGACCCACACCTCCAGTCAAATTGGTAATATATATCCTCTTATACTAACACTATATTAATGAATCCGATTTCTCAGGATCTAAATAAAGAACTTTGCTGCACACCTCTCATGTTTGGCTGTTTTGAGGCCCTTTTTCTGCCTGCTGTCACTGCTTTTATATAAATCTGCGCCCTCTTGTGGGAAACTTTGCTTCTGGATAGTGCCGCAACGCGGGACACTTTTTATATATATTGATCGTCTGCCTGAACACGTCATGTAGTGGAAATGGGCTAATCAATGTGTGATGCTATCTCCATAAACTCTATGATAATGCAGAGTAAATATACAACGCTTCATTACTGTCAAAATTCATTTATTTAATACAATTCACATAACAAATTCATTACATTTACATCACATTATATAAATAATATAAATCCTAATACAACACACATTTAAATAAGTAACTGGCTATATAACTTTCTATTTTATTTTATAATTCACTAATTAATCTGGCTTATTTAATGCATTACATTTATTTACAAAAGCCCAAGTGGGCAACTAATTCATAAACGCCGTTCAGGCCATAAATTACTACTTAAATATTATAACATAAATTTTTTAGAACATTCAATATAACAATTTATTTCATTTAAATTATCAAATAATACACATAATTAATCATACATCATATCATCATATTAGTAAACAACGTACACTCATCTTTACCACCACACTTATTTCTATCATGTTTACAAAAGCCCAAATGGGCAACTAATTCACAAACGCCGTTCAGGCCATAAATTACTATTCATATATTATAACATAAATCTTTTAGAAACTATCAATATAACAAATTATTTCATTTAATTATCAAATAATACAACAAATTTAATTATATGACGCACCATCACACCAGTAAACAACGTATATCCATCTTACCACCACACTTATTACTACCATGCCGTCTTTTCACCATCACCTATATTTCCTTTTTACACCTAACTAATTATATTTTATAATTACTGCCGATAAACCACTTCGTTATGGATTGGCCTAACCTGTATCTGGCTCTGGATTATGGACTGGTACCCGCTCGTCTCCTGACATGATGTTTTTTATGCTCGCTTGCTGCCTGGATTTGGCTACGTTTCGTGCTGGATTTGCGTGTGGCTTTCGCATACAACTACGTCTCTTTACCTTCCGACCCTGGAATATTTGATATCGCCGTCCTGTTTCTTTTGGCTTCATGGATCGACCACACTCCATGTATAGGATTCATACATGCTCTCTTGCAACAACGTTTTGTATATTTTAGACCTTGGAGTCAACATATTCTTCAGACATGATGCTGTTCCTGCAACGTAAATATAAACTCGTTAAAATCGTCTGCGCATAAATCACACATATAAATAATTCTATTAATCAAAAAACATTCATATTTTATAATATACATACTCTCAATTAATACATAATACTTTCATCAATTTTTACTTAATATCAATAATCATAATACCAATCACAACATTAAGCCATATAACTCTTGTTTTTTCACTTTATAATTTATTAATACATAGCCCATAATCCATAATAACACATTTCATAAATATTAGAATTCCTTATGACATACAACAATACAATTAACTTATTAATACTAAATCAACATATACAGATGCATTTCAACATACATTTGAAAATACACACTGGTTATGGATTTCCATTTATACACCACATCATATTCCAAATTTCATCAATACACATTTTATCGCATTCATCGCCCCTATATATGGTTACATATTCATCGCTACACATTACTATTTATACATCATCATTCACGGCACTTCTCATCTATACATTCAACATTATAACTAATGACTTCTTTTTATCACTACTGTCTTCATGGTCCCTGGATTTGCACCTCCAGTTTCTCTCGGCTGGCACCCCACTGGTGCGCATCTCCATGCCCGTTCCTGGGATTCATTTGGCTGCGCCCACGCCTGCCACATAAACGCTTTCCATGGTACTACTGGATCTTCACAGCAGCTACATCTACAACTACACTATTCATACTTATATTTACTATTTAAGATTATTATTGTCATACGTTTAAGCCCACTAAAATGTCTAGTTCTTAGCTTTTTGTTACACAAAATGAATTAACTTAAAACTTATAATTTCCATTTTGAAAAGAAATCTTTGAAAATATTGTTAATAATCATAATTCGCTTTATTTTGAAATCCCTTTATATTATAATTTATAACTTGAATTCAATTCTTAAATTTTCTCTCATTATTATTGTTATTAATCTATTTTTCATCATATATTCTTATTACTTTTACCTTTATACATTGTTTGCTATTCCTCATTAGGATTAATTACACTTAGATTTAATTTATATACCTGTAAAAACAACAACAGCCACACCACAACATCTACTCCTGGTACCCCCTTGAGGGAGGGGGTGCCTCACTTACTCGCTTCGGCTTTTCACCGCAATTCCCTCCACTCATTCAAACGGGAAGGATCAAGGCAGTAATTTTTTGTCGTCACCTCCTTTAACTGCACTGCTGGCTGGATTTGGGATTAGTTCTAAGTTTAGTTTAAGTAAAGTTGTACCCATTTTCTGGCTATGTGCGCCATAATAAAATATATATATAAAAAAAAAAAAAAAAAAAATTATGCTCTCCTTCCCCTTTTTATCTTTCTTTATAATGTTTCTCCTGTCTCTTTACTCATGAGAATCAAAATCGTTCCAAGCCTTACTAAGCTGCTACTCATTTAGTATGACTCAATTTGAGTGAGTCTATTCTGAGCTTTTCGCTCAATGAGCTTTATTCTAAAACGGCAATTTTCCACTGGTACACCCAGCATCCAGTTTTATAGCCTAGGAATTTTGCCTCAACCTTCAGTCGGGTTATTCGTTTAAACTGACATGCATGTGTTTTTTCGCTGCGTTCATAAAAAATTAAAAAACAAATTAAATTTTGTCAGAAATTATTCTGTTGTATCGGTCGTGTAGTGCCGCGTTTTCCATTCCCAGTGATCTTGCGCGCCTGGTGTCATATCGTTTTTGTGGGGACCGTGTCTATCTGGTTGGTCGCGGCGGCTGGAGGTGTTAGCTGCTTGAGCTGCCTGTCCACGCTGTTGGCCGTTTAAGTTGGCCACGTGTCCCTTTTTCAGCGGTATTTCGCTAGTGTTGGTAGGACTACGTGGGCGTGTGCCGCGTGACTGTACTGCACCGCCATCTTGACCTTCAAGTGTCTTGACCTTTGTTTGTCCTGACCTTTGCTTGTCTTGACTCATACTCGTCTTGACCTTGACCTTCATTTGGTCCGATTTATCTTATTCATCATTCATTTTTATTGATTTCTTCACAGTTTTTGAACAAAATAATTTGCATTTGGCCATTTTTGTGCGTTGGTTGCCTGCGTACATGAGTTTTCTTCTGCCTGGTTTTTTCTGGCTGCGACGATTTTTGGCTGCTGCAGTTTGTGAGTATTGAGGTATTTTCCTCCTCGAGGACTGTGTCTGGTGTTTCTTGCTGCAGCGACCATATTTCTGCGCGTGCTCGAGCTCGGTTTTGGATTTTTCGTCTTGCGCGGGTGACTTTTTGACGCTGGATTTGTGCCTCGATGTAAATTCTGGTCAGTTTTTGCTTTTGCAATTTTATTTTATTACCACGAATAACTCGACTCAAAACACTAAAGTTCATAATTTTTCTTTATTTATTTAACATGAATCAAGATAAATCTAATTCAACCACTCCAAAGCCCAAGAGAAGCCCCAAGGGGTCCGCTCTGGTGACTTCTAATGTGCTCTTGCGTCCCGCAAAGGGCTCTCCAAACTCATCTTCTTCTAAGGAGGCCACTGGGAAAAACGAACCTGCGAATTCTACTCCCAAAACGAGTTTTCGCCCCATTATAAATACTACTACTGTTGTGCGTCGTTCGGGTGAATTCCATGCACCTGTACAACCGTACAATCCAACAGTTGCTGAGGCGGCAAATTCAGGAAGCAGTACGGCATCGCTATACAAGCGTACTACTGCATCCCACACATCGCCTAAATCAAGGAGAATTCGTTCTAGTGCTGCTGTACGAAGCACCTCTGCTTCGGCAAGGGCTGCCCAGCATGACAATTTAAGACCCGATGTTCAGGATCTTTCCAGATCTGATCTTATCGAACTGGATTCCAACGAGGAGGAGATCGACAGTGACTCCTTATGTATGGAAGGCGCGAGTGCTCTTCCCGCTTCACCGCCGAACCAACAAAATACCAACCAGAATGTTGTTGCCGAGCCCGTTCCCTTGCAGTCTGGTGACTTGGAAACCCAGGGTAAGCCAAATTCTCCCATTATTTTCACTGGAAAACCCCCTCCCATTCAAGCAGAATGTGAGGATGCCACTGCTTTTTTAGTCGCTTTGTCTGAAACAGTATCACCGTCCCAATTCTTTTTAAAAATGGGCACTTCAGGTAATATTTGGATACATGCCAAAATCCCTGAAGATTATAGGGCAATTATTCACTTCCTGGACACAAATAACTTCTGTTACCACACTCATCAGCCGAAAGAGCTTAGGCCCCTTCGGGTTTACATCAGAGGATTGCCTCGTGCCACTAATACCGATTTCATTAAAAGTTCCCTTACAGCCGAAGGCTTTGACATTGTGGGAGTTCACAATCCCACCTTTATTGATAAAAGGAAGTCTGATCCAGCAGCTAAATATTCTCCAAACGCCTTCTTCGTTAATTTATTAAACACACCTAATAATGAGAGAATTTTTCAAATTAAAAATATTGGCAACTTCATTGTGCGTGTCGAGGCAACAATGAAAAACCTCGACATACCACAATGTAAGCGCTGCCAACGTTTTCAACATACTGCTAGATTTTGTAGACATTCCCCCAGATGTGTCAAATGCGGTAATGAACATTGGTCATCTACCTGCACTAAAGAATTTGACATTCCTCCTACGTGCGCAAATTGCAAAGGCACACATACTGCCAATTTTTCTGGCTGCCCAGTTCTTGCTGCTGTCAAGGCCAGGCGAAATAAGGTTCACCAGCTTCCTGCTCGAACACGAGCAATGCAAATTGCCTCTATGCCTTTTGATGAGGCCAATTTTCCCACTTTGACTGATCCATCAAATGCCAGGCAAAAGCCACAAGCTGCAGATGGGTCTTTCAATACGCAATTTAAAAATTTTGTTGGAAAGAATCCCTCTTCTGCTACTCCTCATCACCTGACCACAAATGCGTCATCAATAGTAGCGAATTCCAGAAAAACTGGCGCACAGCCCAAATCTTACGCTGATAGAGTTCGTTCCTTCAACGCTAAACATGATCTTGCGGATATTCCACATCAAATGCGTGGGGAAAAATTCCCAAGAATATTGGGCAAAACTGCCGATAATTTTCCACCGCCTAAAACGGCTCTTACATTACAAAATCCTACTATCCACAATCGAAATGACGCCCTACAAATTTCTTCTTACACTTCCAATTTACTAAATCTCCCTGACTCAGAATTCAGGATTTTTGTTTCAGACAGCTTTCAAAATATGCAACTCCAAATAGCTTCTTTTCAAACACAATTAACGGCCTCCCTTACAAGGATGGAGCAGCTCGTTTTTTCTTTAAATAATTCCAACGAATAAACTAATCAGATTGTCAATTTGGAATGCTAACTGCATTCGTTGCAAACTTTGAGTCATAGAACTCTCTCTCATTAATAATAAGATTCTCATATTGATATTTCACAATCTGGCAGTCATTCTTATTTTCTACCTTGTACACAAATTTTTTCTTACTTATATTTCATTTATAAAAAATTTTTTGTTCTATTCACACTTAAATTCATCATTTACTCCTCTTAGTAAATATATTTAATCAAATCATATTAATATATGTATATTGCCCTTCACCTAGAATATGCTACTACTATAACTAAACCAGCTACTACACAAAGTATGCTGGTCTTAGTAGTATTTATGTTGCACAGCAACACTACGCCCAGTACCTTTTTATACATGCGCTATACCTATTCACACCATGCACACACAGCGCATACACAGCGCATACTGACCTGCCCTAATTCACAATGCTGATTTATATGCAAAAGAAACTTCCTTCACACACGCTTGTGTAGGTCGTTCCCCTTTTCATATGCTTTTGAATCTCTTATGCTCGCTCTCAGTTGATTCTCTCTGGGTGCTCTGTTTCTGTCCTCCTCATTAATGTATTGTTGCTCTCCTTTCACCATTATAAGCAGGGCTTTTATTTTTCTTTATTCATGCTTCGGCTATTATTTTATCAAAATACTGTAATTTTTTAATTCTAATAATTCAATTTACCTTTAATTAAATTCTAAACAATTATCGTCTTCATTTATTAGCTTTCTTTTTCATACATTAAATTTTTCGCAATGCACAATACAAATGCACAATACAAATGCTATTATTAGTCTCGCTGCTTAGCTTTTTCTTTTTGCTTTGAATTAATTTATACTGCTGCCCTGCTTACTCTTATGCGTCCCGAGCACTGCCGACGTCATTTCGGCCATACGCGTCACGCGCTATTGCAGCACGGCAGCATATCAGCTGTAAATTCTTCACCCCCCCTTTTGTACGTATTTATTCATTAGCTTATATTATATTATTATTGTGGGTTACCCTCCTGCACTGCATCTTAACTGTGCACGATAGGTTCCATTTATAAAAATTTTCTAATAATTATCTGTTATTTAAAAAAAAATTATAAATATTAAATAAAATAAGTAAGGAACTTATTATTCATTTTTCATACTTATTCCTACTTAATCAAAACATATTAATTTATGTATGTTGCCCTTCTTTAATTCTACATGCTACTATTACAACTAAATCAGCTACTGCATAAAGTATGCTGTCATTATATATTTCATATTGCACAATAATACTGTGCTCATAATATCTGCATACATGCGCTATGCGTTCATATACCATGTACGCACAGCGCATACTGACCTGCCCTAATTCATAATGCTGATCTACAAGCAAAATAACTTCCTTCACACACGCTTGTGTAGGTCGTTCCCCTTTTCATAAGCTTTTGAATCTCTTATACGTCCGCTCTCAGTTGATTCTCTCTGGGTGCTCTATTTCTGTCCTCCTCACCAATATATCGTCGCTCTCCTCTCACAATTATAAGCCAGGGCTTATATTTTTTCTTTTTTCATGCTTCGGCTAATATTTTATAAATAACTTTGTAATCTATGATTCAAATAATTCAGTTTATTTTTCAATTAAATTTCTATTTATTTATCGTCTCCACTTATTGACTCTCTTTTTCATACAATAAATTTCTCGCAATTGCACAATACAAATTCTAATTTTAACTGCCGTTTAGCTTTTTCTTTTGCTTTGAATTAAATCATATTGCTGCCCTGCTTACTCTTATGCGTCCCGTGCACTGCCGACGTCATTTCGGCCATACGCGTCATGCGCTTGTGCAGCACGGCAGCATATCAGCTGTAAAAATTCTTCACCCCCCCTTTTGTACCTATTTCTTCGTTGGCTAATATGCTATTTTATTGTGGTTTATGTTCCTGGACTGGCATATTAACTGTGCACGATATGTTCTAGTCGGGAACTTTTCTAACAATTACCTGCTATTAGCTATATGTTTTTTCTTGTCTAATTGTTCTTCTTATTATTATGCTGCGATTTTACTGTCAATGTTTTTCGGCAAGCAGCCTGCCTGTGTCGGAAACTTTTTCTTACATGAATCTAATAAGAACATTTTTGGTTAATTTCCAACGATTTACTAGAGCAACTTGTTACAAATTTTTCATAAATAAACTGATTTTCCCTATTATTTAACTTTAAATATTGAGATTTATACTTCATTCCTTATATTAATTGTTATATTAAATCAGATTCAATTCAATTTGCTCTATGGCCATTTGGAGGTCATTTTAGTGCTAAGGAGGACCCAGATCCGTGTATGGTAATTTATTTTACTTTAGATACAGCTGGATTCTGGATCCCCCTTGGCCATTCTTTACCACTGTGGGCGGTCGTGCTGACTTGTGCTCTAATATGCTGCTTCGTTCAGCGATATAATTGAGCGCTTTTTGCCACTGCTGCTCAAACCAAACATTTTTTCCTGGGTCTGTATTCTGTCTATCACTGTTAATTAACATTTATGCTCTCCTTCCCCTTTTTATCTTTCTTTATAATGTTTCTCCTGTTTCTTTACTCATGAGAATCAAAATCGTTCCAAGCCTTACTAAGCTGCTACTCATTCAGTATGACTCAATTTGAGTGAGTCTGTTTCTGAGCTTTTTCGCTCAATGAGCTTTATTCTAAAACGGCAATTTTCCACTGGTACACCCAGCACCCAGTTTTATAGCCTAGGAATTTTGCCTCAACCTTCAGTCGGGTTATTCGTTTAAACTGACATGCATGTGTTTTTTCGCTGCGTTCATAAAAAATTAAAAAACAAATTAAATTTTGTCAGAAATTATTCTGTTGTATTGGTCGTGTAGTGCCGCGTTTTCCATTCCCAGTGATCTTGCGCGCCTGGTGTCATATCGTTTTTGTGGGGACCGTGTCTATCTGGTTGGTCGCGGCGGCTGGAGGTGTTAGCTGCTTGAGCTGCCTGTCCACGCTGTTGGCCGTCTAAGTTGGCCACATGTCCCCTCTTCTGCGGTATTTCGCTAGTGCTGGTGGGAATACGTGGGTGTGTGTGCGTGGCTCTGCACTGGCCCACACCTCCAGTCAAATTGGTAACATATCTCCTCTTTATACTAACAATATATTAATGAATCCGATTTCTCAGGGTCTAAATAAAGAACTTTGCTGCACACCTCTCTTGTTTGGCTGTTTGAGGCCTTTTTCTGCCTGCTGTTACTGCTTTTATATAAATCTGCGCCCTGGAGTACTTAATTCATATATCACGTCGACTGACCTATGCTTTATTGAGTGGAGCTTTGCTGCTGGATAGTGCCGCAACGCGGGACATTTTCTATATACATCTTGATTGTCTGCTTCAACATGTCCTGCACTGGAAATGGACTAATCAATATGTGATACTATCGCCATAAACTCTATGATAATGCAGAGTAAATATTCAACGCTTTATTCCTGTCTAAATCCATTTATTTTAATACAATTCACATAACAAATTCATTACACTTACATCACATTATATAAATAATATAAATCCTAATACAACACACATTTAATTAAATAACTGGCTATATAACTTTCTATTTTATTTTTATAATTCATTAATTAATCTGACTTATTTAATGCATTACATTTATTTACAAAGCCCATGTGGGCAACTAATTCATAAACGCCGTTCAGGCCATAAAATACTACTTAAATACTATAACATAAATTTTTTAGAACATTCAATATAACAATTTATTTCATTTAAATTATCAAATAATACACATAATTAATAATACATCACATCATCATACCAGTAAATAACGCACATTCATCTTTACCACCACACTTTTTATTACCATGTTACAAAAACCCAAATGGGCAACTAATTCACAAACGCCGTTCAGGCCATAAATTACTATTCTTATATTACAACATAAATTTTTTAGAAACTATCAATATACCAAATTATTTCATTTATTTATCAAATAATACACAAAACTAATTATATATCGCACCATCATACCAGTATACAACGCATATTCATCTTTACCACCACACTTATTACTACCATGCCGTCTTCTCACCATCACCTATACTTCCTATTTTACACCTAACTAATTATTTTGTATAATTACTGCCGGTAAACTACCTCGCTATGGATTGGCCCAACCTATGTCTGGCTCTGGATTATGGACTGGTACCCGCTCGTCTCCCGGCATGATGCTTTTATGCTCGCTTGCTGCCCGGATTTTGCTACGTTCTCGTGCTGGATTTGCGTGCTGCTTTCGAATGCAACGACGTCTCTGGACCTTCCGATCCTGGAATCTTTTAAATCGCCGTCCTGTCTCTCTTGGCTTCATGGACTATCACACTCCTTGTATAGGACTCATACATGCTCAAATTGCAATGATGTCTGGTATCCAATAGGCCTTGGATTCAACATACTTTTCTGACAAATTACTGTTCCTGCAACGTAAATATATACTTATTAAACCATTTTCACATAAATCACACATATAAATAATTTTATAAACCAAAAAACATTCATAAATTATAATACACATATACGCAATTAATACATACTACCTTCATCCAATATCATTTATCAATTATCTGTAATCACAATTCCAACCACAACATTAAGCCATATAACTCTTGTTTTTCACATTATAATTTATTAATACATAGCCCATAACTCATAGTAATACATTTCATAAATATTATATTCACCAAATTCCTTATAACATACAACAACAAATTAACTTATTAAATACCAATCAACAAAGACAGATGCATTTCAACATATATTCGAAAATACACATTGGTTATGGATTTCCATTTACACACCACATCATACTCCAAATTTCATCTACACACTTTACCGCATTCATCGCCCATATATATGGTTACATATTCATCGCTACACATTACTATTTACACATCATCATTCACGGCACTTCTCATCTATACATTCAACAATATAACTAATGACTTCTTTTTTATCATACTGCCATCATGGTCCATCCGGATTTGCACCTCCTGATTCTCTCGGCTGACATCACCATTTGGCACCCCACTGGTGCGCATCCTTCATGCCCGTTCCTGGGATTCGTTTTGGCTGCATCCACGCCTGCCACACAAACGCTTTCATTGGCACCACTGGATCTTCACAGCATCAACATTTACACACTATTCATACTTATATTTATTATTTAAGATTATTTTTGTCATACGTTTAAGCCCACTAAAACGTCTAATTCATAGCTTTTTGTTACACAAAATGAATTTACCCAAAATTTAAAAATTTCAATTTTGAAAAGAAAACTTTGAATATATTGTTATAATTTATACTTCACTTTATCTTGTAATCTCCTTATATTATAATTTACAACTTGAATTCAAATTTTTTAAATCTTTTCACATTATTATTGTTATAAATTTCATTTTTTCTTATTACTTCTACCTTTATACATTGTTTGTTATTCCTCATTAGAATTAATTACACTTAGATTTAATTTATGTACTTATAAAAACAACAACTGCCACACCACAATATCTACTCCTGGTACCCCCTTGAGGGAGGGGGTGCCTCACCTACTCGCTTCGGCTTTTCACCGCATTCCCTCCACTCATTCAAACGGGAAGGATCAAGACAGTAATTTTGTTGTCGTCACCTCCTTTGACTGCACTACCGGCTGGATTTGGGATTAGTTCTAAGTTTAGTTTAAGTAAAGTTGTACCCATTTTCTGGCTATGTGCGCCATAATAAAATATATATATATGAAAAAAAAAAAAAAAACAATATGCAAATTAAATGTTGCTAAAAAGTGCGTTCGTTCGAGAGAATCGACAACAAACAATTTACATTGTTTTTCGGCCGGCACAATGCCTTACAGTGGGAGTCTATTTCGCTGCCCACGTTTGTGCCCTTGCTGCTGGGAAAAAACCAATCTACACACTCAAAATGCCTCTATTCGAGCGCTTAATATTTTTTAAAATTGTACAAACATTAAATAAATTCGTAAACAAAATTTAAAATTGTTAAAAAGTGTCACAACTTTAATTTACAATTACACCGCCAGTCAAAATGGGACTCGGTCCCTTTGTGCCTATAAACATTAATAAAACAATGTTTAAAAATCTGCTGATTTATTTCGGCCGCTACCATCATACTTTGAAATAAATAATTTCTTAAAATACATTCGTGTTAATAACATATACTCGGTGCATTTGTCCACAGTTAACATCATATGTGCCTGCAGTTTCGCTTATACATTTTCGTTTTTATTATTCGTTGCCTATCATTTAGGCGCATGTACCAAAGCCTTTGCTGCTTTGTTGCTATATTGCACTTCAGCCCTCCCCTTCGGCTCCAACCGGAGCTAGTATATAAAAGCTTTAAGCTTTTGCTTAAGCTGCCTTTGCCATTGGCATATGCTTAATAATACACTGTCTTCACAACCGCTGTCCATTGCTGGTCGCGTCGGCTATTTGGTTTTAAAATTTTCATTATCAAAACGAGTAAACTTTACTCCACGCGTTTCACATGAATTTATTCGCTATAATATTTTTCTTCGATTCCGGCTAATATGCAATACTTTAAATTGCTACAAGTGCGGTGCCGGGGAAAGATATGCCAATAAAAAATCACATTATTCTGGGCTCGACCATGCCTCAATTAATAAACTTACACAAAACTACAAACAGTGCTAAAATCATAAATTAATTTAATTAAAACCTATACAAAGAATACAAACACTTTTAAAATCATAAATATATTCAATAAATAGCTGCTAAAACAATATAATACAGTGTAAAAATTGCAATATGCATACAATAAAATCAAATATACCATGTACAGTCCGTCCGTTTGTGCACAATTACAATAACAAAACACTGATAAAAAAGCCGCTACATAATTTCGGCCTTCATTCGTCATACACTGAAAATAAAAATTTCATTAAAATTTCATATGTGCGAGTGGTATATTCGGTTAATTTTCGCTTTGCGCATGTGCCTACTGATTAGAAGCATGCGCCAAAGCTTCTTCTGTTTTTCTCGCTTCATCTGGAGACACTATATAAAAGCTTTAAGCTTTTGTTTAAGCTGCTGCTGCCTCCGGCAAATGCACATAATACATCGTCAAAAATTTTAATAGAAACAATAATTAACATTAACGAATTAACATCAGTAGATCACGCAGCTTGGAAATTCATTACAATTTCGACTACTTTCTAAAATTAGCTTTGAACTTTTCTCTCTATTCTTTCAGATACTAACTTCAAATTGCTCCTTCCCCTTATGGCTGCTCAGTCCGTACGATGACTGTGCACGTCCCGCGGCCTGAGCGGAATCCTAGACCCGGATCCTCTATGCCAATCTCTCCGTTCGCAGACTGGATTCGGGAGGCGAAGGAGGAATTTTTTCCTGGCGGGAGGGGCCCAGATCCGTGTATGGACATCTCTCCGTGAAGTACAGATGGATGCTTGGCTCCTCCTATGCCCGCCCAGCGTGCGTGGTCCTGGCTGACTCGTGCTCCTATATGCTGCACTGTTTTCAGCGATATAATTGAGCGCGCCTTGGTCAGGGCCATGTCAATTTTTAAACTTTTCAATTTAATTTATTTTCTGGGCTCTCTGTCTCTTTTCTCTCTTTTCTTCTCGTTATATCTTTTCTTTACTCCTAATTTCTGGAAATAGAATTTAAAATTATATAGTTACAATCAAAACAATTTATTAAAATCAGTCTAAAAAGAAAATATATTACATCTTAAATCAAACAAAGTAAAATTCCCATTAAAAATTTGCGTAAAGGCAATTGCATTCAAAAAATTACATAAAATATCAATATACTTAAACAAAAGAGAAAAGATTCAATATTGCACAATTATCACAGAAAAAGAAAATAACACTCCCGACTTCTCAGGTACCCGAAGATCGCCATCTAAAGCTCTACCATTTGTCGTCTCGAACGGTTCCTGCTCTTGGTATTTGATACTTTCACCAAAATAGTAATGGACTGGGGCGGCCACTGTTGCTGCCTCCCGCCAACTCACAAAGCCGCTTTAAATCGCAGTCGCAACAACACGAACCAACCGTTCAACATGCTAACCTGCCACACTTTATCATCGCTCGCATCTGGACTCCTACCTTTTTAAAATACAAACGCTGCTCATCATTATCCCGGTGGAACCTGGAATTCCTCCAACTTTAGTTAATATTGTACCTTTTAAGACATACTAAACGCTCTGCAACCTGAACATGTATTAAATTAACGTTTACGTTAACATTCAAAAAGGTCAATTAATGATGCAATTTTAAATTCAGATTTGATTCTCACTTGTTAAAATGTACAACTATTGTAAGAATACTAGCTCATATCTTGCCAAAACTTAAAATACTTTTCGATCTTCTCTGCATCAAACCATAACAAATTTAAAACATATTAAACTCTACTAAAATATTCAGATGCCAATAACCAACAATTTAAAAATCGCAATTACACAGTTAATTAAATAACCGCTGAACTTTTACACATATAAACAGTAACTTTAAAATTCAATCAAATTACCAAACTTGGAAATGCCACTCACTACACTACATTATATATCACAAATCAACATCAACTTAACAAATATTTCCCGTCATCATTTATACTAGCAATACATCATATTCACCATAAGAAAAATTGGAAACCTATCTAAACATCAACCAAATCTGGAACATCCACCTATACACATTAAAATTATCATAAGAATAATTGTTTAAAAATATTTACAAGTAACATGTACAATCATTGTCTACTAAATTTTGGACACACAATACGCAATTATTAAAATGGTATCGTCCAAACTTCACGACGATATAAAAGCGCACCCTGTCAACATATACATATTACACACACAACCAGAACATAAAACGCTATTTAAAGCAATAAATTTTTCACGCAATCATCTTTATAAACACAAAATCAACATGAAATTAACAACTAATTTCTCGTCTACACTTATACAGTCACTCAACACCAACAAATTAAAAAGCTGCCATCTCAAATCTTGCAACACATACAAACTTTAAAAATTCAACAAGGACATTTGGTACCGTATCACCCGATCATTATATTAACTACAAACCACCGCCTCTGACATCTGTTGGAAACACACACAAACTTCGCAAATACAAACAAAACACAAATACCAATATCAATATATACCTAAACTAAAACTTTATAAGAAAATATAATAATAATCAAAAGCATCTGAATAAATTAACACAATAAAACAAAACAATAAACAAACAAACGCAATCATAATATATATCTTATTGATTATAAACAATTAAACTTAGTTTGACAGTCATAACTTAAATTAGCTACCAATTTAAAACCATATTTCTTTCACATATACGTTTTTGTAAAATTTATATTGCACTTTAAATCACGAAATATTGTTATCTATTCAACTTTCTTTATATTATATTGTCTTATTTAAAATCTAAACTACTCTTAATACCACGTTAAAACACACAATTTAAAACATATCACAATTAATTTTCAACATTTAAATTCTTTAATATTATCTTCTTTACAAACTACTATCAAAAAATTATTTAGTCTATTCACAAAATAATTGAATTTATAAATACTTATTCTCCCCTAAAATGAAATTTCTTGTGACCCTAGTTTTAATTTACATTATAATTTTAATGTACAATGTCATCATGGAATAACTCCTACTTCTTCCGGTGCCCCAATGAGGGAACGGGGTACCACACCATCATGCTACGGCTTCATTCTCGCTTCTCCCTCCACCCATTCATACTGGAAGGATTAAGGCGGTAATTTTTACGCTGTATGCCTCCTGCCTATATGCACTAATTATAAGGCTAAATTTGTAATATATAGTTATAAGTTTCGGCCAGTGCGTCATAATAAAGAATGAAAAAAAGAATGAAAAAAAAAATCTGTAATAATTGCTGTGTGTTGCTGCGTTTTTATTCTCCGGGTGATCTTGCGCGCCTGGTGCTGTGTTTCCTTTGTGGGGACCGTGTCTGCCTAGTCGCGGTGCCCAGACGTGTTGGCTGTTTTCAGCTGCCTGTCTGCGCCACTGGCCGTTTGTGTGTTGGCCACGTGTCCCTTTACTTTAGATTCACTGTGCTAGTGTTGGTAGGATTACGTGGTTAGAGTGCGTGACTGTACCAGCTCTCAACCTTTGCTCCGTTTGACCTTCAGTTGTCACTTGACCTTCAATTGACTTTCACCTGAACTTGATTCATAATAATTTTTTATTTTTCTCTTTTCTGCTTAATAGATTGGCATTCGGCTTTTTGTGCGCTTTGGGCTGCCTGTGTGTGGGGATCCTTTCTGCCGGATTTTTCCTGGCCGTGACTGGTTTTTGGGCGCTTCAGTGTGTTGATGTATGGTATTGACTCCTCAGCTTAGAGAGTTGGATCTTATGTGCACATGCTGGTAGAGTTCTGACTTTGACGCGTGTACGGGTTCGGTAGGAGAATATTTTTCCGCACAGTGTGGCTTTTTGGTATCGTGATTATGCCGCTGTGTCGGTTTATTTATGCAATTTATTTCATATTTAAACAAACTATAAAATAACTCGACTATAAACTTATTATTTCGTACAATTTTCTCTTTTCATAATGAATCAAGAAAAATATACACTGGTCACTGCTAAACCCAAAAGAAGCCCTAATCGGCCTCAATTGGTTACTTCAAATGTTCTGCTTAGTGGAGGCTCTACTAAGCCTGCAACTCTCTCATCATCTCCAAAGGAG